AAGCGAGGGGGAAGGGTGTCTCCGGCCCGCGGCGCGGTTTTGGGTGGGGACGCCGGCGGACACGTTCCCCATGGCCCCGCCGCAGCCGGGGAAGGTCATTCCGGCAGCTTCCGCCGATCATCCTGGGATGGACAACCGGTCGGTTCCCCCACCGCCACCACCCCAAACCGGGACAGGGTGATGGGGTGGGACACGTATATCTGGGGTGGGTGCTGTGGGGCAGGACTGAACCCCGCCGGGGAAAAACCTGGCTCCCCACCATGCCCGGGCTGGAGCAGCTAACCGGGCGAGGGAAACTCCCGTTCCCTGCCCCGATTCCTGCCGGATCCTGCCCGCGCCCCTGCGAGCTCCCCGGCCCTTTGAATCTGCCGGCAGGATGTCTACATGCTTCTGCCGTGGCTTCATCGCTGGCTGTTAGACCCATATTTGGTAGCAATAATTGTTTACTCCCTTCTCTCTCCCTAAGCCTCGCTGCTGAGAAGGGGAGGGGACATATTTTTGGGATCTTTAGCTTTGCTAAAGCCTGCGGGTTGCCCGGTAAAAGGTCCGAGCCCCCACCCCACCCTCCGCAGACCACGTTGTGAAACCCCACAAGTGCTAAATCATCAGGTGATGGTGTGTGGTGAGCACCGGCCGAGCACGCTGCTTTGCTCACCGAACGGCAGCGGTGGGAGTTTGCTGCAACCCAAAGTGGCACGTCCTGGCGGATTTGGGGAAAGGGAGTGGGAAGCCTTGAGGGAGAGGGAACAGGGACCTGCGGGGTGCGCTCCTTTCTGAAGCTGAGCTCTGCCAACTGCCAGGCGGAGAAATGCCCCGCAAAACCCCGCCACGCTTCCCTCTCGCTTTCCCCTTTCTGCCTGGCCGGCTGCAGGCGAGTCACTTGCCGTGGCAAGCGTGGGTGCCCGGGATGGGGCAACCCAGTGGTCTCCAGAGGCCGTGAGAGTACCCACTGCATCCCGAGCACTGCTTTTGGAGTGCTCTGCCAGAGGCCCGGCTCACTAAGGGTCCAGGAGGGGCTGCAGATGGAGTCCTGCCCTTGCTTGCCCCCGTGCCTGCCTTGGGGGTGCCGCCGTCCGTGCCCCCTCCCTTTGGAGGGCAGGGGAGTCGCAGCAGGAGGGGACAGGCCTGGGGATGTGGGAGATGCTGGAAGTTAATGGCCGGAGCTGCTTCGCCTCGGTGTGGGTGAGCACGCAGGCAGGCAGGCTGCGGCTGTGACCCTCCGGCCCCGCTGCCGTGCCCCCTGCCCATTTCCCACCCCGGCTGTGGGTGACAGCCGGGTGGTCACCGGGGTGCCGTGGGACTGGGGCTGGCCTGGTCGGCCGCTCGCGCTCCCCGGGAGGCAAGCTCAGCCTCGGCTGGAAGAAACCGTCTTCCCATCTGATGTGGACGTGCGGCTGGGAAAGAGGAACCAGGCTGAAGGGGCTCGGCGGTGTGCAGCGCCGTCACTAGCCCCAGGGCCACCAGCTCAGCCTTCCCATCGGCATGGGACTGAGCCACCTGTGCCCCCAGTGCCTGCCGCGACTATGTAGACTGGTCCCATACTGGGGAACCCAGCCAGAGCCTGGTCCGGCTTCTCAGCAGGTTAATTTTTGACCCAGTTCATCGTGCTGTTGTGCCGGCGAAGCCACCCCTGGCAGGTGTCGTGGTGGCCTGGTACCTGCCTGGCTGTGCCGGCAGCTGTGTTGGCTGGGCCAGCAGCCCTGTGCCTGGGGAAAACCCTGGCAGTGGGGCGGTTTGCAGCTGATAAAGCTTCCTGCAGCCAGTTCCCAGTCCAGGGGTGGTCCGGAGTGGGGCCTTTCCCAAGTGAAATTTGGCATTGCCATAAAAAAAAAAACCAAAAACAAACCCACAACAAACCCAAACCTCATCCGGAGTCTCCCTTAGAAAGAGCATGTTAAAAATGGCAAAGTTGTTGCATTTGAAGGTTTGCAGCTTGCTCTGGAAACTGGCTGTGAGTGTGCCAGCAGGCTGCTGTTGAATTTTGGCTGTTTTGGTTGGTGTTTTTTTTTTAAGATATAAACCCTCTGTAACCATTCTTGCAGTGCTAAACTCAGCCGATACAAATATAGCAGTTACATCACGTGACGGAAAACTCGCTCTCAGTGGTCCCGGCAATGATGCGGTGGTTCCTTGGGCCGGAGCTGCGCTGCCTGCCCACGACCATCCCTGCCTGTGCTGCCCCTGCCTTTAAGCAGAGCCCGGAGACCTCCACCACCGGGATGGTTTTGCTCACCTAGTGCGGGGTGAGATGGAGGCAACCGGGATGGCTCCTAGGG